AGATTGAAATCCAGTTCCTGATGCAACTGTTCGAGAGAGTGATCTCGGAGGACTCCATGAACATCTTCACGTAAGTCTCTAGTTTCTTTTCCTAGTGTTTCTCGTGATTGGAAGCTAGAACTCTATCATTCATATATGACTTCTTCACAGCTATAAGCTTCTTGTTTCTTCTTTTGCATTTTTCTCTCAGGAAGGGAATTTGTGTCCATTTCATTGGAGATCTGTCCAGGCTTCCAGGCACTCTACGCTTGCTGGCGTGTCAAATCCAGGAGCGAACGCGCCACAACAAAGGTCTCAAGCTGGTGGTGGGATTAAGCTACAGTGGTCGACAGGACTTGGTCCAGGCTTGCAAGGCTGTGGCGGCGGAAGTCCAGCGGGGGAGTGTTGATCTCGACGAGATTGATGAGTCCAAATTGGAGAGCAAGCTCCTCACGACTTGGGACGAGGAAATCAGCGATCCGGACTTGCTGATCCGGACAAGCGGCGAGAAGAGGCTGAGTAACTTCATGCTCTGGCAGCTGGCCTACACGGAGCTCGTGTTTGTGCCCGAGCTATGGCCGGATTTTGGAGAGAATGAGTACCGGGTGGCACTGGCCGAGTATCAAGAGAGGGATAGACGTTTCGGGAGGCACCAAAACAAATAGAAATCTCTCTACAATGATCGAATAAGTAGCTTTTGATATGTTTTGATTTATATTTTTTATTTAAATGAGTTCTGTAAAGCAGTCATTAAAAAATCATTATATATATATTTTTAACATTATACCAATTGAGATCTACTAATTGCAACAACATTTAAAAGTACTGCGTGAAATTGTATTCTATAATATTTTGTATTAATATTTAGAAAATTGAAATATACAATAAAATATTTTAGCTATAATAATAGAAGTGTAATTTTTATTAAAAAATATATGTCAAATTACTTCAATAGTTGATTTTTATTGATATGTTATACATATTTAAATAAATATATATCAAAAATAAAAATAAAAATAGAATTTGCATAATGTTTTTAGATTGTCCTTCTTTTGGATCAATTAAATTTATCATAGAAAGATTAAAAAATCATGGAAGATACAAATAACAAATAAATATTTATTTAATATAGAATTTTATTTCATATACATAAGCATGGCAATTCTGAAAATTATTCATTATAAAAGCATACAAATAAAGTTTTAAAACTTATGATTTCGAAGTATTTTAGAATTTAGATATTAATTAAGTTACATGATAGTGGCTGTTTAATTTAGATTTATAAAAAAAATATAATACATACATATAATAAATTATACTTTTTTACTGAGAACACTCTCATTATTTATCAATTATCATTGAAAAATATGTTTTTGTGGTATAAAAATAGCGGTTAAACTTTATCATTAAAGTTAATAACTTGTTTGTAAAAACTAAACTTTAAAACTATTTTTACTTTAAAATTAGAAATAGTGATCACAAAACTATTTTAAAATGTTTAAAATGTGTTTTTTAGATTTATAAAATAATTTATAAACTATAATCATTTTAAATGTGGATTTTCTATTACTATATAAATATGGTTTTACCTTGTAATTAGTTGTTAGTCACCAAATTTATATATTTACTTGTTATAGATATCTTGGTCTTTATTTTTGAATTAAAATTTCGAATAAAGTAATAAATTAAAAATATAATAATTGTTTAATAGCATGTAATATATTTCAATTATATTGATAAACAAATATATTTTTCATATATATATATATCTCAAATTTATGTATAAGGTAGGTTTTGTTTAAAAAGTTCTGAACATAACATAATTAAAATATTGAGTTAATTAAATTAAAATAATCTAGAGAAATAAGGAAGAAATTTTAATTGTGTAAATGCCTAGAATATGGAAAGGGAATATGAAAAATGTGCATATCAATTAGGCTAAACACCTTAGTTTATATACAGGAGCTAGTGGTCTGGATTGAAACCAATATGACAATTATTAAAGTCCCACTATACTAATATTAATATATAGTATTGTAGCCATACACTTAAACCTCACATCATCCCCTCTTTTCGGAATAATAGAAAACTATCAGGATTCTCTTATAGATGGGTTGGGATTTAGAGGAATGTCAAAAGGAGGCATTAGTGGATTTGTAAGTGGTATCAATTGTTCATGATCCCTTTGTATGAAGTGTTTCAACCACTACACATATACAATTTCTAGAGGATCGGCCTATTAAACGTCATGCCAAACCTTATAAACTTGTAGTCTAACTTGCCACAACACTCGATACAGTCCTTTTCACTGAGCAAGAAGCCCTTTAGATAAACCATATACCAGAAGATGAGGAAAATGGACTATCCACTTTGTACTCCACATGTGAACGATGATAAGAGTTGTGACACCATTGTTGTCTTACTTATATATGGCCTAACTATTCAGCAGACTCTGCTTGGATAAGTGGAAGAATGTTTGTCAAATATTAATCCCATGGCCTAGCATCAGCAGCTTGTGGCAATCACGAAGGTAAACCCAGCTCCGTTGGTAATATTGGATCATGACCATACAGGAATTTATATGGTGAAGCACTAATAGAACTCTACACCCTTGTGACATATGTATACTGAAGAAACAGTAAATAACCATCCCAATCTGAATGTTGAAAGTTGACATACTTTGTGATCATTCTTTTGAATGTCCGAACGAGTCATTTCACCAAACCATCTGACTATGGATGATAAGCACTCATGAAAGTGTGGTGTATATCCAATTGAGATGTCAAAACATGAAATGCCTCAGCCATAAATGCGGGACCATTATCCTAAAGAATCTGCTCTAAACAAAAATGCTAGAATACCACTTGATTAAGGAAAAAGTATCCAACAGCAGTCGCAGAGGCACTAGCAAAAGTACCAACTTCCACCCAATGAGTCAAATAATCAAAAGCAATAATAACATATTCATTGCTAATAATCGATCATGGAAAAAGTCCCATAATGTTAACTCCACCAACTCAAACAAATGGGAAATTGCAATTGATTCTAACCATCCTTCTGCAGCATTAGGGGGAGTATTACGAATTTGGCACCAAACGCAGTTACGCACATATTGGATAACATTATGTCGCATTTCTAACTGATAGAAAGATTTGTGTCGCTTCTTGGTCATACAACGATGTCCTATATACCCGCCTAAAATAGGAAAATCATGGTAGGCATAAAAAAACCATGGAATAAAGACAAAAGGCATTACCAGCTATAAAGGATCATCATGATCCATCCCCACAAAATAAAAAAAGCAGTATTTAAGATGATATTGAGAATGTGAATGTCGGAATAACAAATTATAAGCAAATGATGCAAGATTCTTAAACCCATTTCAAAGCTTTCGAATGCATGCCTCAAGCTTTTAAGTCTCACGAACGTCATCAAGAGAAGGTAAACCCTTTGATAAAGAAAGATAGGGTCACTAATTTATTCATGCAAGGTCCCTCCATTACTTGCGTGACTTTCCAAATAATAATTTACATCTAATATTCATATTTAAGATTATATTTGCATACTTTATTAAAAATATTTATTATTACTTATGCCTGGATGTTCTAATATATTCAAAAAGCTGTATAAACGTTTTTGTTTTTATATTCACTGTGCATTTATTGGGCAATACTAATATTATTATAAAGCTATCATATGGTGCAAAGTATATGCATTTCTATTCAATTTCAAGGGATTGTATTAAGTGTTAACTGTTGTTTACAAGAATATAAAATTCAATATAGTGAGGTAATATTTCACTTGTAAATTCAAGTTTTCTTCATTCGAAAGGTTTATTAATAATAAACATAGGCTTCTTCATTTCAAGAATATAAAATTATAATTAGGATCCTAGGTCATATCACGAATTAGAAATATTAATATATATGTTAACAATAGTATTATTCTATTTTTAGAAACTTCCAAACAGCAAAAGCTTATAAATGTAATATATAGGTTTTAACACAAAAGGTACTAAGATATAATGGCTATCATAGTTAAAATATTTATAGTTTTACTAGTACTTGTATTTTTCTATTTTAAAGAAACTATTGCTCCACTAAATTTGAAATTTGGAAGGGCCAGAATATTAAATGCACAAGATATGGTAAAAGTTATTGGCTTAATTACAGATTTAATAAATAAAATTAACCACAAAGAAGATTATTCTCGTACTTATGGAGATGGAGGATCTGTTAGTGTTTCATGTGGAATTGTAAATATAGAAATTAAATCAAAATACCAATGCTCTATAAGTGAGACAGTGGTAAAAACAAAGGGAATAAATTTAAAATCTGGTTTTGAAAGACTTTTATATCCATATATAAGTATTCTTAATCTACATCTTTATGATTTTTTTCTAAATGAAAATAGTGGTTATTTCATACAATATGAGCTAGAAAACCGGGAAGAACTTCTTCAAAAAAGTAAACTGTTTGGTGGTTTATATTTATGCATTCTTGAATCTAATACACTTATTAGTCCTATGATTCTTTATAGTGGTAACTTTTTAGTCTCTCCTAATGAAAAAGATATTTTATTGTTAAAAAAAGATTGTAATCTTGTTCTTTATTTCCAGAAGACTCAAATTTGGGAGTCACATACATCACAAAATGTTAATGTATCTTGTGTATTAGAATTTCAAACTAATGGTATTTGCTTTTTATATAATAATTACCAAATAATTTGGAGAACTAATTCAGTTTATCCTCAAGATATAAGTTCCTTAAATCTTTATTACTTTACTGTTCAGAATGATTGTAATTTGGTAATTTCTACTGTACAATTTCCAAATAAAATATGGTGGGAATTAAGTTCTCATTCTTTATGTTAAGAAAATAAATTATAAAATAGACAATAATTTCTGTTGATTGACAAATTAAAGCATAATTATTTATAATTATACACCAAGTTTTGTCAATATTTCTGTAATGGTTTATCCTAAGTACTACAAGAACTCATATGTCAAATATTCTTCACTTTTATTTATCTATCAATATTTAGCAGTTATTAGCGTATTATGTGGTTTTATGTCATTTTATAATGTTACCCAGTGAGTATAGGTAGATAATAGTTGTATGCTAATAAACCCTGAAAACATGTAATTTAAGTTTATTTACCTTAGTCAACTTTGTGTACTTCTTTGGGAGATGCTTTTATAGTGGATTTTTCTTCTAGCAATATTCACTCCAAGCAATGGTGATTTAGATTTTTTTTATGCTCCACAACATTGATTTAAAATCTAAGTCAATGAAAATAACCGAGTTAATGTGGATAATGTTTTTCTAACTAGTATACAAATACTTGTTTAAAGATTAAAAACATAATTATGTTTTTCATGTGAGCTTTAAAAACCTTATTCTGATTTAAAATATTTCTTTTGATATTGAAAATGTCTTTAAGGTGATATTAAGAATGTAAATGCAAGAATGGCAAGTCATCAACAAGTGATATAGGATTTTCAAACCTTTTTCGAAGGTTTTGAATCCATGGCTTAATTTTTTGAGCCTCATGAACCTCATCAAAAGAAAATAGATTTTGCTCTGTACCTTGTGGACATTGAGCGTCAAGTATAACAATTGCTAATGGCACAAAATCCTCGTCTATAAAATTCATAGGTGCTAAAACAATAGGCTTGTCAGAAACATAAAAAGAGAGTGAAGGAGGAAGAAAAACTTAAAAAAGGGCATTAACATTAACCATAGAACTCCCCAAGTGATGAACAACATCA